GATTGTTTTCTACTGGACATGTTTCCTTACATTCTACCTTTACGGGAGGGAGAAGTGCATCTTCAGGCCTGCATGTTCCCGATCTCCTCTCCAGTCTCTCCCCTTTCAAAGATTAGAACAAAATCAACATTAGCTCAGAGTGTGTTAATTAGATAAGTATAATTGAGGTGATTGATTGTTATTTTGTGATTCTTATTATTAGATTCTGCTTTTGCTTTGCTCCTGCTATATTGCTTTTAAAAATATCCTCCAATTAACATCTAAATTCCCTTTTTAGCACTTTGTGAAACAGTAAAAATCTGAGTATAGTTCATCCATCAGCTCCATTTGAACTCTGCATTGCCTGCTGAGTAATATTCATATGTTCAGTTTAGGGGTAGTTAAAGAAAGAGCCGATTCACACTTCCTGTATTCGGGTGCTGGTCCCACAGATCGACAACCCCTGTAGGTGGTTACACGTGCATGTGATGGGTGTGACATAAATTGTTTCCACAGATGATGCGGATGCATTTTAAGTGTTTTGTTTTGTTTTTAAATATTCTGAAATTTATATTTGTTCGTTCTTTTTTTCTTTCTTTTTTTCTCCTGTTTTCTGAACAACAGAGGAAGATGTGGACGTAGATGATGTACTTGCAGAGGATGCAGTGGTAAATTTTTACAATGTTTCCCACAATATGCTCTCTTTAAATCCGCCTCTCAGACTGTATTGTGGAGAAGTAATTTTTTTAAATGTATTTATTTATCTCAGGACTTCACTAAAGTTGAGAGTTCCAACGACGTAAAAGACGACAAGGATTCTGAAACGATCGAGCCTGAGCCGTAAGTTTATCTTCATTAAATTTACCTTTTTTTGTTCCTTCATCACTTATTGGCTGTGGACAATGTGACATTTGGGTCTCATTCAGTAATATCTGTGTAGAAATGTTCTTACTAAGCAAATAATAAGTATACATTACTCTCAGATTTATGAAGCATATGCACCAGCGATGTTTGTCCTTACCGCTCCTAGGCAGCCAGCAGAAACTAAAATTTATGATTCGCGTCATCTTTTTGACGTTTGAAATTTTACTTTTTTACTTTCAGGCCTGCCGAGAAGAAGGTGGTGAAAATAACTCCTCCATTATCTGCCAGCGAGGTGTGTACAACCTGTTTGCATCCACTAATGACTTAAATGTGTCAGGTTAAATGTGAGTCAGAGGGGAATTTTAGCTCATAGTAAAGTTCAGTGGTCTATTTTTAGGAGTGTATATGAACAAAACATATAGATTCATGAGCAAAGGTAATACATCAAATGTATAGGTGTAAATGTAAGAGAGATTTTAATAGGAAGTATACAAAGTTTAGAGTTTAGACTTTACTTCATGTACAGCAGTAATGTCAGTTTTTTATCTAATTTGTTGAGCAGAGACTTCAGAAGAGAGCCGAACGTTTCAACCTGCCGGCGTCATCTGAAAGCAAGAAGGCTATACGTGCAGCAAGGTGAGGCCTTACCTCAATTATTTCTTCTTTCAAAATAACAGTACCGGTAGAATAACTGTGCTCGCTGCATTTGGCTTTTTGTCCGAGAACACGATGAATCAAATCTTTATCTCTTTATTGAATCTTTCCAATGTTACTTTATTTTATTTCAGTACTTCAATGAAATCTGGAGCATTTTTTTAAGTGATCTTATTTTTCCTCATAGGCTCTTTTAAATTGTAGTTGTTTTTCAATTTGTTCATCATTTTATATGATATTTATTTTATTGACATTGTTTTGTATCAATAAAATGTGATAACTTAAAAATAGCATAGTTTATGCGACTCCTCCCTGAGTTAGCAATCACTTAGATGAATCAAACATCATCATACATGACAGAAATAATGGTCATGACTTCTCGAGTAGCACCCATGTAGCTCATGAAGCAGATTTATGTTTCAGTAAATCTGTGTTAAAACTGAAACATGTGTTCTCCTATATTCTAGGTTTGGCTTACCTGCTACTTCAAGTCCCTCTCCAGGTCTGTTGTCACTCTTTACTAAACAAATGGTTGTTGTTTTTTATAAGAAATGTATCGAAGCTAAGGACTGACTTCGTAGGCTTGTGTCAAAATATGTTTGTGTTTTTTAATTGAATCTTTGTATTTTATTCAGAATTTATTTCTTTTATATGATGACGTTACAAAATGTTTTATTTTCTAATTGTACTATAGAGAAGAAACATAAGCCTTTGTAAACCTTTATACATGCCTGTATTATTGTAGTGCAATAATAATAGTAATACTATGATAGCACTAACTTATACTACTGCTAGAAAAATCTATTTTTTATAAAAGAAGAATTTTATAATTAATGTTATTTGTTATAAATGAATTCCGTTAAGAAGAATTTAAAATTTCCCAGAATTCATCAAAACTATCAACTAAATTTAAAACAGTTGTACCAGTTTAAACCACAAGATGGGGCAATGAGTCTGTTTCACCTTTAATTAAATACAAGGCATTAGTGATAGCTCATGTAAAATACATTAACATATATGAAAAATATTTTCTGTAAGATTGTGGAGTTTTTTTGTGTATCTGCTTGATTTAAATGAGCAGATCATCTCCTTCATGTCAGCTTCTCTCACACCTCCAAATAGCTTTCAGTAGCTTATTTTGAAATCGTTCTATGGAGGTCTCATTCTGACCGCTTGATTTGTGCCTCTGCTCTACGCACTGGAGTGGTTGAAGAACTCACAGTGCAGAAGCAGCATGAAAAGTGAAAAATATCAAGTAATATGCAGAGCAAGACAGATTAAATCACAGAGCAGTTAAATTGGTCAGAAAGGAACTTCCATAGTGCAATCTAAAAATAACAGTTATGCTGAAAGCCATGTGGACGTGTTTGAGAAGATGATGTTCAACTGGAGATCAGCCAATCAGGTAATGTGTTTTTTGGGAATTTTTTTTTTTCCCCCATGAGATGTTACCTAGAACTTTTTGATCATTTCATACTCATATGTAGCCTGTGGAGAGCGATGAGTGCAGATATGGTGAACAATACTACCTTTTTAAATGTATTTCTGTATGTAACTAATTTAAAAATAAATGGAAAATACTTTTTTTTTCTGGGAAATTGTTACTGCAGTAGTTTTCATTTAAAGTGAGACTTCATGCTCAGCCAATAAAAGTTGATAGTGCTAAACTAAAATTGCTAAATATAGATTTAATCAGTTGTAATCAGCCACATCCAACCCCTTAACAACAATATTAGTAGCATTAGTATTAGTAGTAGTGTTATTACAAGTATTTCAGTGTTTATTATGGTTTTTCTCACAGTTTTCTACTTTCTGTCTTTCAAACAGGTGTCGTTGTAAACAGTAAAGCTGCGGTAAGTGTCAAAGTAAAAAAAAAAAATTCTGATCATTTATTTCTTTATTGCTCCATCTGACTCAAAAAAGGACACTGAATCATCATGTTTGTCTCTGTTAAAGGTGAACGTCGATCAGCTGAAGAAGAGGGCAGAAAGATTTGGCATGAACGTCTCATCTATTTCTCAAAAGGTGAGCTCTAGTGTTTTTTTTGTGTGGTGTATAAACTAATGAATCAGGGTTCATGCTGGACATTAAAAAGCCTGAAATTAAAATTAATCAATAAATCAAAATAAAAATTCCTGTAAAGTTTACTCTATGTATTTATTTTGCAGATGATCTGTTTAAAATTGGAAGAAAAATTGTCATCATTATATTTGTGACACCACAAAACAAACAATAGCGTGATATGAAATGATAGACGTTTTCATATTGTCATAAAATATGTCATTATATCGAACAGCCCTAATAGTACTTGCTTTTTCTTTATTTATTAACCCTCTTTAACCTCCTAGGACCTGACGTCCACATATGTGGACATCACATTTTGGGTTGTCTAGACCAAATTACGAAATTTTGCTCTACAAGGGCCTGATATCCACTTACGAGAACATCATGCTGCCACTGTTCTATCAAGATTTAAAACAAATGTCCTCTTATGAGGTTAAATGTTGTTCTGATTCTTTTTTTCTTGTCTTTATTGTTTGCCCTTTTATTTAGTTTTTGTTTACTTTTCCTTGAGAATCTGTGCTAATGTTAAGTAATACTATATATTACAAAATAATTTATAGCTAAATCATTAATATTATACTGACTTTTTCAGATTGAGGAGGATGAGAAGCTTAAGAAGAGGAAGGAGCGGTTTGGAGCCCTAACAAGCGCGGGCTCAGTTGGTGGAGACGACGTCGAGGTACGATTTTGGTTTTGTGTGATTCATATTTCATCACAATGCCATGTGATTTAACCACAGTGAATGAAATAAAGAGGCTGATTAATCTTTTCTTTCTTTTTGTCTCTGCAGGCCAAGAAGATGAAACGTGCGGAAAGATTTGGAAAAGTGTAAATAAAGTGTGAAGTAGGGTTTTTTGTTGTTGTTTTTTTTAAGGGTTTTTTGTGACTGTACATCAGAGATTCCTGAGGATGAGAACCGGAATAGGCTAAAATCAAAAGTACAATTAAATGCAGCTGTATCATTTAAGGTAGTTGAAAAGCACATATTTGGATTTTTTTGTAACGACAGAATTGAAGGGGTGCAAACAGGAGCTTGTAAACAACGCAGAAGTTTCTCAGTTTTAAGATTTTTGCTCATCGTTTCAACTGCATTACAGTCCATTTTTCTAATGTGTATCAAGCAAATACAGCAACAAGCAGCTACTTTACAGTAAAAGATGGTTAATTAATTACTCATCATATAATCTTAAGATAAACTGCTCAGTGAAATCAATAAAATCATTTTACAAATGAAACCATTGACGAGGTTGAAATGTTTTGTTCTGAAGCCGTTGCGTAAAGTTTTCCATTAGTGAAAGAAAAAAATTGATGCTTTTTATATAAACATGTTTTTGTAGAGTGTTCCAGTTATGATGAAACCTGTTATGGAAGTGATAACCGATTGAAACATCTAGTAGTTTACAGTAGAAATAGGAAAAGGAAGATTACTGACTGTGATTTGTTCTCACTGTGTGTTTAACTGTACTTTTGATTGATCAGATAGTCTGATTGGGGGTTTTTTGGAGGGGGGCGGGGGCATCACTGATACACTGCTTCAGTTATCTGTCCATTTTATAACATTTTGTGATTTAAAATAAATTGTTTTCAATTTTTTGATACCTGCGTCCTTGTCTCATCACTGTTGTTACTGGAGTTTGATCATCAGTGTGGACCATTTTAGTACTAAAGAACACATTCTGTCGAAGTGTAGTTTGTATTTTCCTCAGTTGTTTATTATCTTTAAATATGGCTGGAGTTGTGTGTTCATATTTCTCTCCAAGTGTGTGAACATTAAGAAATGTTATTTTTGAGTCAGGCCAGTTAGAGACCCCAGTTAGAAGTTGTATGATTGTGAGGTTTATCTTCATATTTCACAGAGATAACAGAACAAGGCAAATGTGTATCTGGAGTATTGATTCAAATGACAAAGAGCTTTGCGAGTGTAATTACCCCCTGGTGGGCACTGATGAAGCACAGGGATTGGAGTCAGATAGCTTCACCAAAGGGGGTGCCTGACACACATCCTAGAAAGCAGCCGACAGTCCTTGTCTGAGTGCTAAACGCACGGGCGATATAAAGTATTTAATTTCAATTTTGCTAAACTAAAACATTTGTGAGTTTTGGTTGCACTATAAAATGCAAGTAATAATAATTTACCATAACCTTTCAAGTAAGAATTACAGGAGCAGTTTGAGTTTGTCTCTTCAGTTTTTCCTGTTTTAACATTTTTTGCAAGTGTGCTTTCCTATATCAAGCACATTCAGCTCCAGAGAGGTTTAATTATCAAAGGATCAATTCTTTACTCATTAAAAGTTTGGTTTCAGTGAAGTTTGGGTCATTTTTACCTTTTATTTTCTTTCTTCCCATAATATCAAACAATGTTATGATAGGGAAAATGGTTTAAAACATCTAGCTTACAATTGATGCAGTATGACAAAATAATATTTCTGTCCCATTTTGATAAAATGTTGCTGCAGTAACACATTCTAGAGTTTTTAGCTGTACTGTAAAACCTCAAATAACAATATAAACACTGTCTGAAAAACAAAAGCAGTAAAGCGGTTGTAACAGGAATGATGAAAAATCAATGAGTGAAACCCAATAAGTCACAATAAAAAAACAAAAAGGAAGATTTTAAAAAGATATTTTTACAGACATTTGAAGAAAATCAACAATTCTTAACAACATAAAGGCTCATTTGGGCAACATTTCTGCTGTAATTTGCGAACAAATCAAAAGTTTTAAAAGTGATCGGAAAAATCTGAAAATCAATTATGAAACATACAGAAAGCCAGTGCAGAGAACTGTGATTGGAATGATTCGACCCTAAAACCAGCAAGAAGCTTTACTGCTGCATTTCAAACTGTTTAAAGACGACAAACCAAAAGGAGAAGAAAAAGTATGAACAAGGTCAACGTTAACACTTTCGTAGCATGTACTTTTAAAATAACAGTTCAATATCTGCGGTTCACTGATAAGTTTTGTTGTGTAAATTAGTGCTCACTGTTAAAAATCATGTCCACTCAGAATTATCTGTATTTTAAACTTCCTGGTGATCACCTCATCACTCCTGCTAATGTGCCCTAACCAACTGAAACCCCCCCTCACACCTACAGAAAGAGGCCGCTCCCGCTTGAAGTTTCATGACACAATGAGGGTGATTAGTCTGAACAACTCTGTATTGATATGGAGCAAAAACTGCCACCCAAATACAATACAATCAGAAGTGGGCTTTCACCATTAGTACTCTGTGACAATACAACGTGTCAATTATTTGACACCTGCATGGCTTTTCAGTCTGTCACCAAGCACATCTGTTTTTTATTAAGAGGATTAAGGATTAAGAGGTCCCAGCATTCCCTGCCTGGATATTAGCAGAGAAGTGGGTACAAAAAATAAATAAATAAATAAATAATAAAAAAGAAAATAAAGTGGTACGCTGCAGATGACCTCTCAACAGGAAATATGGGGTTTGTTTTTGATGTGTTAAAATTGACCTTTTCACCTTTTATATTAAGGGGGAAACCTTAAGAATATTGGCCAAATTACCAGATTTAATTTTAAATAAAAAACGGAGCAATTCTATCTTTCACCACTGACTGAAAACGCTGTAATGGAACCTGATCTACATCATTTAATGATTCAATTTGGGATTTTTTTTATAAACCCTTTTTTTGTATCAATGTGCTCCAAAATAGTGGTGTGCAATAAAATTGTTATGTGACCCCTTAAAACACATGTACTCACGCACACACACACACACACACACACACACACACACACACACACACACACACACACA